CGACCCGTTCTGTTTCTAGAACGGCCCGTTCTCCATACCAGAACGGCCCGTTCTCCAATTGGAACGACCCATTCTCCCTCCAGAACGGCCCGTTCCAGGCCCATTCTAGAACTTTGAAAAACAACAGATTCTCTCTTTTGGAACGGCCCGTTCTGCATTTGGAACGGCCCGTTCCGATACCCAGAAATACCTTTATTCCTTTATCAAAATTACGGAAATGCCATCAATAATTACGAAAATGCCATTAATAAAAAAAACTGGGTGTTGAATGCCGAAAGCCCGTTTCGGGCCGGTGGCGACAGGCATCGACTAAGAGATATTTTACCAACACTCTTCTGGAATTTGCAGTTGTACCAAAAGAGGTTAGTAACTCAATAAAACTGCGAGTGTGGACTCGCTCACCTGCAAAACCCACAAGAGGCTCGGAATATGGCTGGATCATGCTGTGAGGAATATCAAGCTTTAAAAAGGTTGGCCAGTATAGCACATCGGCAGAGCTGCCTTGATCAATTAATGTCTTCTGAACCTCCCAGTTGGCTACCTCGGCCGAGATGACCATTGGATCATCTTGGTTTAGGCTTATGCCCTCGTAATTGTCATCAGTGAAAACGATAGGAGGGGTTTTCATATCTGACTTAAATTCTGAATTGGAACAATTGTGAACATTGGAAACATTGCGGAGATGCCGCTTCCGAGCAGAATTAGAACTTCCTCCTCCGGCAAACCCTCCAGCAATAGTGTTGATGACACTGCGTATGCTGTTTCCTTTAGAGGATTTATCCGTGTGTTGCGGATCAGCACTGTTTGTGCTTGGTTTGCTCTCTTCGCGTGCATTTGCTTGATGATAATTGCTCTGTTCAGATCGTCCTTGATAATTTTGATGTCGTCCCTGATATCGGCCTGAAAATCGGCCATGGCCTCTACCGCGTCCTCGGAAGCCTCCACGGGAAGCTTGGCCGCGTTGGACGTATTGTCCAAGGTGACCAGCTTGGATAAGTTCTTTGATTCGATCCTTGAGGCTCCAACATTCCTCTGCTGTATGTCCGTAATTTCTGTGATAACGACAATGCTTGCTCTTATCAGCGTTGACCGGGTTGTGTGCCAGTGGGGTAGAGAGATCAAATCTGCATGGTTAGCTTCCTCCAAAATATTAACACGGGGAGCATTGAGAGGTGTGTAAAAGTCATACCTGGGACCTCGTGATTGACGAGGTCTTTTTGATCTCTGGTCAAAATGAGTCTTGGATTTCTCCTTGGTGCTAGACTCTCCCTTATCGGTAAAACTGTCGCGGACAGAGTTACGAAACTCGGCGTGCTCCTCCATTTAAATATATCCGGCTGCACGTGCTCGGAGTTCATCCATGCTGGCCGGTTGATGTCGGCAAAGACTATCCACAAAGGGTCCGGGTTTAAGTGCCATAAGCATGGAATGAAGGGCGACTTCAGGATTAAGGTTGCGTATTTTGATAGAAACGTTAGCAAAACATTCCATAAAATGCCCTAATGACTCATCATCATGTTGTCGCAAATTGGAGAGCGCGGCCGATGTGATATGATGGGGTTTACTGGTGGCATACTAGGCGGAGAAAAGGCGCACCAAAGTGTTGAAGTTGTCAATCGATCTGGGTGGTAATTGGGTGTACCAACTAAGGGCAGCGCCTTTAAGCGAGGTGGGGAATACACGGTAGATGATGGCGTCATCATTGGTGTAGAGGTTGATTTGAGTGATATACGCATCGATGTGTTCATCTGGGTTTGTGGTGCCGTCATATCGCTCAATATTCAGTGTTTTCCAAGAGGGTGGAAGGGGAACCTCCATAATACCATCAACGAAAGGGTGTCGACGAACCGTGTGGTGATCATCGACGGGACGACTAATATGGGTATGCTCGGAACGATGAGTCCGAGTTGGGTTTGATGGATAGGTTGGATTTGGGGAAGAATGATGCTCCTCAGCGGCAAGGGAAGTATTGCTGGTATTGTGTGTATGGGGTGGTTGATGCTGTTGCCACTGAGTTCTGAAAGCAGCATGCTCAGCCCGCATTTGTTGGAGATCGGCTTCATGTTGTTTACGAAGACTCTCCATTGCTTCAGCATGTTGTTGTCGCATCAATTCAATCTGCTCGAGTAACCGCCGTAGAATTGGATTGTCTTCCATGTTTGATGCGTTTCTGTGTGTTGCACTCGTTGTCGTGTTGGTTTGACTTCGGGTTGAAACCATAAGGGTGAAGGAGGAAAAGTTTTACCAGGCCCTCCTTCTAGCGCCAAATGTACTTACACGAATCAGGTCGTCTCCCTAACTCGGATAAGTCGTCTTCCCTGCTGGATTCAACCGAGGTTGTGTGAGATCGATCAATAGGTTGAGTTCCTTCTCTCCGGTCTCCTTGCTCGGGCGTCTCGGATGTACCTGCAAAAAGGACTCCGACGATCAAGTTAGTTTGTGTATCCAGTTTCACATATTGCTTATATCATTACCTGTGGTGGTTTTCCGAGTAACCGTGTAACTGCTATATGGTTATTTTCTGAAGGTGGTTGAATTGTCCTTGACGTTGTCAACCTGCCGAGGTGTCTTACTAACTCGTGACATGTAAGCATTTCATGGTTTCATCTCATTTTGTCTGAGAGGTCACCTCGGTCAAGTTGACTCGTGGACTCGGCTAAGCTCGGCTCTAAGATCGGCTCGAGTCAAGTTGGTACAATCATTAAGCTAACTTACTTTTACATTGTTAAATTTGGTCTTATTATTTTTGTTTTTATAAAAATATTCAATTTTTTTTCTGACTAAATTAACCTAAATAACATTAATGAAATCAGATAAAAATAACATTAAATATTTTTAAAAATTAGTTTTGAGATAAATAAGGAAGAAAGAGATGGAGGGTGGGACGACACAAAAAAGAGAAGAAGGGTAACCGAGAAAGAAAAGAAAAAAAAATAAAAAAAATAAAAAGAAATAAAAGAAATAAAAATAAAAAAAGTAAACCTTAGTCATTGATTTAAAAACAAAGAGGTCGAATGGTAAAATATATTTCTCATGGTCTCCCACGTTACCACGTAGCCTCTACCGAAACACTAAAACTCCCACGTAGTCTCTTAAAATATTTACCCCTTAATTATTTAGAGAGGGCAGAAAATTAAGTATGAGATTAAATTTTTAACTTTAAATTGAAAGAAAAAAATTTAAAATTTAACTTAAATATATTTTAATCTCTTGAATTTAGGATAAATTTATTCTTAGTCCTTCAAATTTAAAATTATTTTTAATTCTTATAATTTTAAAAAATCTTATTTTAATTCTTATATTCAAATTTTATTAAAAAATTTATTAAATATTTTTACATAAAATTTACCTATTAGTGTCTATGTTAGTGAAAACATCATATTAAATCTAATTAATATTATATAATTGTCTTAATTTGTTACTTTTAAATATGTTATTAGTGATTTAAGAGATTAAAAGAAGATTTTTAAAAATTACAAGAATTAAAAATAATATTTTTAAATTTGAGGATTCAAAAACATCTTTATCAAACATATTTAAATCTTTAAATTTCACTTCTAAAATTCTTTTTCCCCTTTTATGTTCTTTTTAATTAAACTTCTTAACCAGTATAGAGTAATCGAGTGATAGAACAAATATTAAATGGAATTGCCAATTGGGTAAATCGACAAACACAAATAATATTAGGTTTTCCCACAATAACAATACTGTTGAACTTCCTAGAGTCCTCATTCATTGATAATGTTGATGGTAACTCAAATTCAGACAAAAAAAATGAATTGAATACATGCATATATCAACAAGAATCGCAACATTGGAGCAGATAAAAAAGGAGCAACACAACCATGAAGAAATAGTGAGGTCTCAATATCCTGGACTAAAGGTGCAATGTCTACAACAGAAGCATGAACCACTATTTTACTCATAAATTAGAACCTTATCAACTGAAAATGATTAGGTTTGTGCTATACAAGGACATTTGTTAGTGGTTTCAGCCTCAGAGTATACTTTGTTCCTGCTAGAAGAAACATGGTACAACATGCTCTGCAACATTGCTAATTCGCTAAGCCTTGTTCACACGAATTTTTTGCCCTTCTAACAACTGCAGTCATCAAACATCAGACAAATAACAAATTATTTTCAGCATAACAGTTAGAACTAAACTAATTACTCGTTTGAAACTCTCATTACATTCAGCCTACAAAATCCAATCCTATTAAAAAAACCAGATAAAAAATGATCAGATTTTTAAATAATGTTAACATCTTTGGAGATAAGAAACTTGCATCATGCAGACATCAAGATTAATCTTTGAAAATCTGAGAAAATTTAGGGCAATCGAAGTCAAAATTAAGCATCACTAAAATGGGAGAGATGAGATTAGATCAGCTACTACATCATTTGGCCATATGGATATGCAATTCTATGTTTATGAGGGACCGGGATAAGGGAAAATAAGCAGGCTATTTTGTGGTTGTGCCAACACACATTCTATTTATTACTTATATTTTAAAACATGTTGATGCAATTTGACAGTTATCTGGGGTTAAACTTATATATGTATTGAACTAAAATATGAAATTAAGTTAAATGCACATAGTATGCGATTATGTTGTGCTGACCCCAAATGAGAGAATGGAATTTCCACCGAACTAGATTATCTCTTCTATCAAAATTCAAAAGAACTCAAGTATGAAGAAGATGAACCGGCAGAATTCAATAGGTCTCTCTTTCCCAGGAATTTCAAGAATCCTAGCTCTCCCTCCCTTAAGAGTATGTTTAGGAGTGGAATTTTATAAAGGAAAAAAACGGGGACAAACTTTATATTTTAAAATTAAGAGTTGTATAATACTCAGAAAAATAAGCAAAAGATTAGGTCATTAATATGTCAATCTATCATTTTATTAAAAAAAAAATATCAGAACAGAGAATAGTTATAAAAAGTAAAATGAAACTGATGTACACGTGAACCAACTAGTATAGGTCTGTTTCAGTTTAACCAGTGGTCTCGAATTCGAGTTCAAAGTATGCAATTGTTTTAAATACTTTAAAGGAAAGTTTTGCACCTATAGTGGTCCTATAGGACTCAAATAGGATTGCCTCTAGTAGAGGATTCCAGTAGTCTAAACTAAAATATTAAAAATGAAAATTTCTATTCTCTTTCTCCCCAAAACTGCATTACCAAACATAACTTTCTGAATACACTCAATGTGTTTAAAACCTTTGTCTCTCCCCCTTTTATACTAGCCAATAGCCAATACTATCAATTAATAGAATCTTAACTTTTAGATGCTTAACTGACTAACTAACTAACTACACAATAGAAGGGATCCGAGAAAGGCCACAAGGGGCCCAATGCACTCCTTATTCTTTCTTCTGACACACTGTCACTTATTTATTTATTTATGTTCTAATTGGGGGTCTAACATGGGAATTCATCCTCTAGGTGTTATTTAAGGTGCCATACTGCCATGAATTTGAAGTATATTTGTATGCCTCAGCTTGGAAATAAACAAGAGCAGTAAACAACTTACAGAATTGTTGAAAGACGAGATTGCAGCTTCTACATCCTCTTCTGATGAAAAAGAAACAAAACCATACCCACTGGATTTTGAGGTACCAGGGACCCGTGAAACCTTGGCACTTAGAACTCTTCCCTTCTCAGAGAAAAACGTTTTAAGAGTATCAGTTGTTACTGTCCTGGCCAGATTGCCCACATACACCTTGTGGGGACTGTCAATAAATTCGGATTCCTCAGCTTGGAGTAAAGGCAAATCTAGTGTTGATAAAGGTTTTTCAGTTATATTTACTTTGATTTCACGCCCTCCAATTTCCTATCATATAAAACATGAAGTTCACAAGTTCATAAAGAGATTTAAAGTCTAAACTGCTGAATGAACATCAGCAATCTTTCTATGGGTTCCTGCAAATTCTGCAATGAAACTTACAGTGCCGTTAAGTTTCTCAATCACAACATTTGCATCCTCAACAGTTTTCATCGTAACAAATGCAAAACGACGGCTCCTTCCAGAGTATTTATCATACATAACCTATGGATCATGCATAAAGAAATGTTAATAGTATCCCTGACCAGTACTATATTATTTGGTACACAGACAATGGATTCCCATATATACAAATCAAGTTAAGTATTTATGAAAAATTAAGGACCTTACTCATGATTATATATATTGATACTCATGAAATCAAAATTCTGGCATCTTTATATTACAATTTACAATTAACATCGAGAGAAAACAGTACACGTGCAGTGTTGACTACATTTAAATTTCTTCCTTAGGGGGCATTTGGTAAAAGTAAAACTTTTTCATGTCTGGAAATCATGGTTCCTGATAATCATAAATTCTGAGAATTATGATTCTCTGTAATGATTATATTTGTTTAGTTGGTCATAAATGTTTTGGAAATGTTTATAAATGTTACTTGAGAATCAAATTTTTTTTACTCCATTAACTAGACAAATTAAGGTAACATAACATTTTTATCACAATAAAACATTCCTTTTAACTTAGGAATGTTAGATTCTCATTTACCTCATGAGAATAATTTGGTGGAAAATTCGTATGAAAAACATTTCCGGAAAACTATGTTTCCTAGAAATGTTATTTTTTAGATGAAAAACCAAATTAGGTAAATTAACATTCCCAACTCCAGATTTCTGAAAAAGTAAAAACATTCAGTATACTAAAGACTTCCTTATAGTATATATATTTTTTTTTCTGAGAAAGAAAACTTTTTTTTCTTCTCAAAAACAGCTCTTTTTTGGTTTCCCAAAGTACTTTAATCAAGAGTTATGTAATAGTCATAAAAGTAAACAAAAGATTAGAACATTAAGTTATGTTAATCTACCATTTTTAAAAAATTATCAAATTAGAGAACAGTCATTAAAAGAAAAATTTGTCCTTCCCACCCTTTCCTTCCAAAACTCAACTTTCAAACATACCCTTAGACTTTAATGAGAGACCCCTCCTAGCAATGTCTTTTTATATACAAATGAATCCTGAAATTGAATGCATAAACAGATGCTTAAGGGATCCTAGCTGCTTGCTCTTGCCCCAACATACGTTACTCAAACTCGTTTGAAAGACTCTGAGCGTGTTTTGGAACTACCTCTATGATCCACGTATGAACACATTTTCACATCTAAATGAAAGATGGAGAAGCCACTCTCTGTAGCATTGGTCTTGACATGATTATTTTTACGTTGGAAACATGTTTCCAACCACGCACTCAATAAGCTAATCCAAATCCCTTAGTAAAATGCCCACATTCCCTCAAATTCCTAATAATAATTTACAACTATACCTAAGATACCAACCTTTACTCTACACTTGACTCATTTTATGTTTTTTCTTTTTTGATTATTGAGGAAAAGTAAACAAAACAGGAAGAACTCAAAAGAAAACTATCTCTACCACAGAGTAGTTATTCCTGACATATCAGCTAGAATAAGAGGCTGAAGATCAATGGGACAGAATGTCCAACCAAACATGGCGAACATCGTTCACGTGGACTCCTATTTTTGCAAGGTCTGCGCAAAAATTCATTTCAAGAACAATATGTTTGATGGTAATACTAATACCAGGAGATGAGAAAGCTCTTATCTTCTAATGACACATTTCTTGACTCATTTTACCACCTTTTAACGGCTACTAATCGAACACCTAATTTCTGTTTTCTTTTTGAAATAATACTACATTAATACGTTACATGCTCTCAAATAAAAAAAAAAAATTGCAGACAGATAGTACCAATAAAAATAAAATATAATCCAACACAGAAAAACATTCCAACAGAAACCCCATTAAGAGAAATACTATCATACAGATAAATAGCTCTCTAATAATAATAATAATAAAACGCCTTTCAAAAAAATAAAAATAAAACACCCCATTATCAAATTCAATTTAAAAAAGCAGAGTAAACACGTATTTTTATCGTTAGATTTGGAAGAGGCTATTACAAGCTATGTTTGATTACACGTTTGAAACTCGTAACTTCAGTTAGTTGGTGTCAAACACAGTGCCTACATATATGGCAAACTCTTTTTCCCATTTGATTGAGTGTGAAATACAAGCAAACCTTAGTTAAATCAAAAGCTAGAAGGTTGTTATGCTTTTTTTGAAAGTTGGTATGAAAATTAATCATCTGAACTAAACTTAGTTTTCTAACTATAATCCAAACACACACATATTAGTCTCTGAAACATCCCCTATTATATTAGTACCTAAAATTAAGAAATTGTAAAATCAGACCTTAAAATATCAAATAAATTTTTAAACTTAACTAATAAATGTCATTTTAGTCCCTAGACATATATCAATATTATCACTTTAGTCACACATTTTTTTTCGAGTTTTGGACAAATGTGAGAGTCAAATTGCACTTTCATGAACTAATTTGATAAATTCCTAAGGCCTAGGAGGACCAAAGTGTATATTTAGTGTTTACTCTAACAAGCAAAAACCCAAATGCACTTGTTCAAAAACTACAATCCAACCAAAGAGAAACATTCCAACAGAAAAATTAAGAAAAGGAGAAGTTAAAAAGGGATAACGTGGCAAAAGATGAAAATACCTCAGCTTTCTCAACAGCACCATGCTCCTGAACAATCTTGGCAAGCTCATCGTTGGTGACAGTGCGAGGAATGTTGCCAACGTAGAGCTTCCTGGCGGCCTCGGTCACCGTAGCTTGTTCGGCCACCGCAAAGAGTCTCCCGAAACGGCGTCGTGGGGTGAGAAGGGGTCGCATAATGTGAGCGGAGGAGCTCGGAGAGGTTGTGAGGGAAAGGAAATTGGGTGGCGAGAGGAGAGAAGAGTAAAGAGAAGCCATTGTTGTTGTTGAGATGTTAGAAAGGTTTTGGTTTTGGTTTTGCAGCGACAGCGTCCGAGGTTTATCTTGTTATCTAAATCTTTTGGGTGTTGCTATGTTGGAGATCCATAAAATTTTGGATACGAGTTTTTTTATTGGGTCGGGTTGGCCTCTAAATTATTATTATTTGATTTGATTGTATAAGTAAGTGATTTCATATATTTTATTTATTATTTTTATTATATATAAGAGAAATAACAATTTTATCACTATAATTTCTACAATTATTAGAATATTAGAAGTTATGTATAGTTTCTACATTTATTAGAAGTCATGTATACTTATTAATAGGAAAATGGAAAAGATAAAAATGAACACTAAATAAGGAAATCTATTTTATTACTAATATAGATAATTTATATGTATGATTTATTAAAATTAAAATGAGAAAGATAAAAGTGGATATTAAATAAGAGAATCTTTTTCATTAGTAGTATAAAATAGATATAGATATATATACATACACACTAATTTTTAGTATGTGTAATGTATAATAAATTAAATGTTTATTTTATATAATTAAAATTTATAATAAATTATATATGCAAATAAATAATATGTTTGAATTTATAAGTTATATTTAATATTTGTGTAAATAAATATTTTTAAACATATAAATTATATTTTAAATTTATTAATAAATAACTTATATTGTTGCATTAAATTATTTTTATTTATCGATAATTTATTTTAAAAAATTAAAATTTAATTTATAAATAATTAGGATAAATAAAAATTAAATCAGATAAGAAGTTAAAATAATCCTTAAAAACTTTCTTGTCGAAGAAAAATTCCTAAATATACTTTTACATAAGAAAAATATTTGTATTTAATATAGATTAATATCCAACAATTTTTTTAATTTATTTACAACAAAATAAAACTTAAAATAAAAATAAAATAAAAAGGTGAAAAATAAAATAATAAAAGATTACCACATCATTGGTCTAATAAGCAATGGTAGCCAAAACGGATGTGTTAACATTGTCGGAGAAGAAGATGCATACAAAGATGATCTCGACAAATGGATGGTCACTAAAAAGAAGGAAACAAATGAGAGAAATAAGGAACAAGACGAAGAGCGTGAAATGATTTTAGTGCATGTGGTTTATGATAAGGTTTCTTTATGTTAGGTATTGTTTTGCCCAGCATAGAAAATTCTTTCTATGTCGAGTGAGTCAACACCCGTCATAGAAATGTTGGGATCAACCACAAGGTTGACCCTAACCAACACATTTTATAACAAGTGTTAATTCACTCAACATAAAAAATTCTTTATGTGATGGGCGAGTCAATACCTGACAGAGAAAGTGCAGTCATATTTACAACTATGTCATCACATCACTTTCGATGTCATGTGGATCATACTCGACATAAAAAGGTTGTCATTATTATTATTATTATTATTATTATTATTATTATTATTTTGCATTAATGAATAATATGCTACCCTTATTTTCTTACTTAATGCTGGAAAAATATCTTTGATTACCAATTGACATATATAAATATTTTCAAACATATTTATAACTATCCAAATAGATTTTAAACACTCATAAGAATCTTGATTTTTGAGAATTTTTATTACTAGCAAGTTAAATACTAAACCCTAAGTATATATAAAATAAACTTTTCCCCATTTATTACTTCTTATCTAGGGGTAGCAATTGTTGTGAGGGGAATCTTATGCATAATTAAGCCAATTGTTTCAAACATGTCCAATATGTTGTCCCCAATTGGTAATGCCTAATCAAATTGATGGACGAGGTTAGCTAGAGCAAGCTCAATAATAACCATAATGAACATTATTCCTAGGCACCCCTTCCTCCTTGCTTCAAATGGGACCAATTGAAAGTCATTTCCTTTCACATCTATTGAAATATAAGAACCTTGCAGGTTTGAACTCTTCAGGTTGATCCCAATACTTAGGATCTGTTGCAATGGCCCACACGTTAATAATTACGTGTGTGTCAACATCAATGTGGTAATCATTCAATTTGCTATCTTGCATTCATTGTCATTGGGCCAATATTGGGGTCGAAGGATGTAAGCGAAAAGTTTATTTAACCAATGCCTTTAAGTATTGCATGTGTCCCAAATCCTATTCATTTATGTGCTTTCTATCACCAACCACACTCCTAGTTTCATCTTGTAGCTTTTTCATCACAATTGAATGCCTTTAACTAGACTTAATTGAGTATTCATTTTATCAACTAACTCCTTCAAATTTTCAATTTCAGTCTCATTATTCAATTTATCAATTATATCCTTCAAATTTTCAATCTTAGTCATTTTGATGGAATCATACTAAGGAACGCAAGAGGTGACACACTCAAGGGATCAAGAGGAGTGGGCTAGACATGGAGGATTGGGCCAGTCAAAGCCCAATGGGCCTTATGGGCTTGGAAGGGCCAAGACAAGTTTCACATGGGCCTATCTTGTCAAGATCATTATTCTTATGTTTTTATTGCACATTGTTAGAATAGGAAGTTACTTTGTTTTAGTCTTGTATTTTGACCATAGAATAAGGTTTGTGAATTTTGGGCTTGTATTTGGGCTTCATGGGCTTTGGCCTTTTGGTACCCAATATTGGGCTCATTTTCATTCTTGTAATTTTTCCTTTCCATTGTATTTGTTTGACCATTGTATTTAGGTCATTAGATTAGGATTTGAGGAGGATTATTAGTTTAAGAGAATTAGGCAAAATTAGGTTTAATTTAGCATGCATTTAAGTTGCATTTTGAGTCACATGGATCATGCCACCTTGGCTGAACATGTGTGACTCAAATTCAACCCTAAATACACACTAAATCAAAACCAAATGCACCAAGCACTCAAGGGACCGGTCATACACATGTGTGACAAGATTTGAATTCAAATTCAAATTTGAATTCAAATCTTGGCGCCAATATGGTGACCACTCATGTGGCGCCAAGTGTATTCATATTTTCGGATGCATATATGTTCCTTCCTTTACCTATTGTATTCACTTTGAATCATATATGAAATTTGTGAGCCTTAGTGCCGAGTTTCTCTCCTAAAAGTCTCTAAGAGTTCACCTCAAAACCCTAGGAATTCTTCCTTATTCCTTCCCTTTGAAGTGAGCTCTCCCTTGATTCTTGAGCTTGGATGCTTCTGTTGGATCGAGCGCTTACCACTAGGCCAAAAGCTATAGCTGATAGTCAGGGCGCAACTCTTTTTACTTATGAGCGCAGCAGCCCAAATTCTTTCTCTTTGTGGCACTCTTCTTCTTCTTTTTTTTTTCCCCCACCTCGCACACCCCTCTTCTTTCTCTTTCTGGCACTCTTCTTCTTCTTCTTACTGTTACGGAAAGTTCTTTCCGGAATTATATAAAAATGTTCCGGAAAATACTTTCCATAATATTAAATTCTTATTCCGGAAAGTATTTTCCGGAAATGTTTTGTTACATAATTCCGGAAAGTACTTTTCATAATATTAAAGTTACTATTACGGAAAGTTCTTTCCGGAATTATATGAACAATAATTTTACTATTCCGGAAAGTACGCTAATGACTGTAAAAGTACTTTTCGGAATGCTAATGACTGTAAAAGAACCTTTCTTATGCTGATTATGGTGGGGCTAGTCCTTTTTTTCTATTCAGAATGACTGTAAAAGTATATTGCTTAATGACATTGAGCGGAAAGAG